AAGATTCGTTAACAGTGAATATATAAATAAGAACAAAATATTCCAAAGTGGTTTTACAAAAATAATAAAATTGATGAACTTTTTTACATTTTGCTATTATACATAAGACTTAGAACATTATATACATTTAGTTCAAACAATGTTAATAAAGACATTTGTTCAATTGAGGTTTTGAGTGTTCTGTTTTATTTTTAAAATTAATAATACGTATAGCATGCTTCTGTTTACGATATAGTGGTTCTAGTTTCGTTTTATTGGTACTAACCCATGGTATATTACAGTAGTTTAGGTAACTTTGAACAAACTATAGTAGATTTGTTTGATTAGAGGTGTTTTTAATAAATAACGTGACTGGTATATTACTCCTATGCTTTTGGATATTTTACTACCTAAATAAGCGATATGTTTATTCCAATTTTGATTTTCGTCAATAAAAACACCAAAAATTTTTGTAACAGTATCCCTACTTATTTTTCTATTTGCAATAAAAAATTTTGAAAAAGAAGATTGAACTTCTATTTTTAAAAAAGGAAGGATGAAATAAAGAAAACTTTGTTTTACTTGAGGTAATAGAGAGTTTGTTTGCCCTAAACCATTCTGAATATTTTTCTAATTTATGGTTCATTTCTATGCACAGTTCGCTATCTCAGTATATAGAATGTGGAAATAGAATTAACTCAAAATTTTAATTTTTGTGATTTAGCGCGTTTTGCAGATGGGCTCCTTAAATTAATATATCAGTGTTTAATCTTTTTTTTTTTTTACACAAAGTTTTATTTTCGTGCACGGAAAAAAAACGACACGTATATGTCTTTCCAACAAAAATTAAAAACCTACTTTAAAAAAGAATTTTAATGTCAAACCTTGACATTAGATCATGTAAATACAGATAAATTGCAAATATAATTGTTCCCATTTTTAAATTATTGTTTATTAATTACTATTGAGTCTTTAAATTTTTGGCAGGAAGTAATAAACGTTAATAAACATACTATAAGGCTAATAGCGTGAAACTATTTTGTTAAAAAAATTATGGCCACTGTGCTTCTTGTTTTAATATTTCATTAACTGCTTTCCTTCACTGTTACATTAGAGATAGTTTTAAATTTAAGAGAAAGCATTTCCTAAAAGGCTTTCAAAAATCTACAGAAATTTTTAAACTTTTAAAAGCCTTTTAGGAAATGCTTTTCAGAGTTTAGGGAAATTAAAATAAAGGAAAGCGTCTTCATAAGCTGTTTTATTTATATACTGATAAAATGGTTAAAACCTTATTATTTTTAGAAAATTGTATAAATTTCTCAATAAGTCTGGAAAAAGTTGTGACGTTAATTGATTTTCGCACGTTTTGCGTGGAACGTTAATATTTTCAACAATAAAATTTAAAGAGTAATTATTGCGCAAATTGACAAAATTTTAAAGTTAACGTTTTTCAACTCTTAAAAAACGTTTTCCAAGTCTAAAAAGCGATTCGGTAATATTTTGAATGTGAGTTCAAACGATCGTGATTTCTTTTACAAAAGAAAGAAATTTAATGAAAAACTAAAATCTTTTGACTTCTTTTTGAAAGTATATTAAGATTTCAAAATTTTTTTATATAACGCAATTTAATTACTATTTACAAAGCAGAAAAATAAACATAACTATCTTTTAAGCCCGATCACTTAAGCTTTTTAGCGCGCTTTTAAACCCGGTCATTTAAGCTTTTTACAAACGAGTTAACACGTGGATCTCCAGCCATATCGTAATTTCTGAAATGATGTAAATCGTTCTTCCAAATTATCTCTTTAGTTCCCATGCTTCTTTCCAAGACTTCCTGGTAGATATTCATTAGAGATAAACAGTGTTCTAATAAACAGCTAATTGACGTATATAAGTCATTAATGAGTAACACTGTTGCGTTGTTTCCATCATTTATTTGACTTGAAGGAACCACTAATTTGTTTCTTATTTCACGGAGCAAGTTGTAGATGCACATAAGATCTGCATTTTGAGGAAGATCAAGAGAAATTGTTTTTATATAATTATTTAAATCTTGGTCATATATATCTTGAAGTAACGATGGAATTAAAATCAATGATTCAAGCTTTTTAATAACGTCATTGTATTCGTCAATCATACACATAAAATCGTTATTCTTTACAACTCTTCGAATGCGATCAATTTGTTGGTTGTCATAATAAACGTGCCTTACAGAGTTTATCTCAATTTTACAATTATAAATATCATGGACAATCCATGCAACATGTGTTGCTTCTCTAATCATTTTTTTCAAAGCTAAACACTTTTCAGCTAATTTTATGCTAATAAAGTCTACATTCGAAGGATTATCTGTCTTGCTGTAATACCAATTTCCTTGTCCAAATAATAGCTCATGCTTTAGTGACACTAATGCGTAGAACAAATCTTTGTAATCAGTTATATAATATCTTGTGAAAAAATCTGAATTTGTGATTGTTTCGTGAACAGGCACGTCTGTGAGTAAGGAAGGAAATAAAATAGAACTCTCCATTTCATTTGAAACTTCTAAAAACATTTCAGAAATACCTTTTAATGAAAATCTTTTTTTTAACAATTTTAAACTTTCCGACATTTTCTGCAGGAGATTTACTCCAAGTTAACAACTATCTTTCTTAAAAGCGTTCTCACAGAATGAAATGCATAGTTAAACCAGTGGGATAAAGAGAGAATTGTATATACACGTGTTTTTGTGCGTGTGTAAATAGTCTACCAATGATATAAAAGTTCAATGAACTTAAGAACCAATGAAATTTGAATCTATTTAAACAATTACTATTTACGCGTGATCGTACACGTTTGTTAAAGTTTCTTTGCACGTTTATGTAATTCGTTGGTTTTTATTTTTTATTGCAGTAATCATGATTGCGAAATGGTGATAAAAAATATATTGTTGTGAAAGATTGTTTTAATGTTTAAATTAGATTTTTTAATATAGAAGCACGGAATTAAGCAAAATTAAAACTTGAAATAACAAGAAATAATAAAGCGCGTAATATTTTTAAAACTTTAGACTTGGTTTTCTAAAAACTTTAGACTTGGTTTACCAAAAATTATAGGCTAAGTTTACCAAAAATAAAAAAGTTTTTTATCTTTAAAACGTAAATAATCTATTTACGTTGATTTGATGTTATTTAATCATGAGAAAAATGCTTTGATGACCGAAAGCCTTTTTTTATTTAAATAACAAAATGCAAGCTGATCAAAGAGAGAAAAAAGCATTTAAACCGATAATAACGGTTTGCTTATAATATATTTCCGTTCAGTAATCTAGCAATTAATAACACTGAAAGTAATTCCGATTTTTCACAATTTTCTTCAAAAATTATCAGATATATTAGTAAAAAATATAGTTGAATAAAATCTCTTTTCTTCGTTGTAAATTATAATAGGGATTGTCACGCTTGTGCCGCCAAGCCTTAGATTACCACTCATTTATATACCTGCGTGTGTGCACGCGCGTATATGTAAAGTCTTTAACCTTTCTCCATATTAAGTTATTTTTAACGGTTTGTGCGTGTGTGCGTTAGTCTGTAATTGTTTCAAAAGCATTAAAAGTTAAGTGCTGTATTTGACTGTATTAGCACTTTACATATATTAACTACTTTTTAAATTCATTACTTCAATAAAAAATCTATACCTTCAGCAAAACATTTATATCACCAATCAAAAAAAAAATTATCAAATAAGCTCGACATCCGAATTACAACCGACACAAATAGCACAAACTTTTAGGTTCCTAATAAATTGGAGTGTCTTAGCTATTTGGGTAGGTCAAAATATTGAAAAAGAAAATATATATGTATATATATATATATATATATATATATATATATATATATATATATATATATATATATATATATATATATATATATATATATATATATAAAGTATATATATATATAAAGTATATATATATAAAATATATATATATATATATATAATATATATATATATATAAAGTATATATATATATATATATATATATATATATATATATATATATATATATATATATATATATATATATATATATATATATATATATATATATAATATATATATATATATATATATATATATATATATATATATATATATATATAAACGGGAGTGAGACGTTTCTAACTTATCAAAATCAGACAAAAAAAATAATTAATATTCATTTACAAGAATTTTCCAAAAAAAAAAGTCGTACGATTAAAAAAACGCATTAATAGTTTCCATTACAAATTAAAACTTTACAAATAAGGCATTTGAAAAAAAAAATTGTTAATAAATATTAATAAACTATAGTTTATAAACTGAAAAAAATAAAACATAGTGTTAATTAAACTATATATAAGTAAAATGGAAACAAATATTGTATTCGAAGAACACAAAAAAAAGTTGTTTAGTTTGTTTTTCAATACATTAACATTTTCTAATACAATGCGATGCTTAAAACTTTTGGAAGAAGCAAAATAGCTAAGAGAATAGTTTATATAGTTTAGATACAAAAGAGGGGAGGGCGACTTTTAAAACGTCGTTTCGTTTTTTTTTAGAAGAGATTTAAGATTTTTTAAAAAAAAGTTATTAACCACTGAGTATATATCAAAATATCCAGCAAGTAATTTTCTATTTAGTAAACTCGCGTGATCTTTCAGTACTAAAGCTTTCGGCACGCAAACCGTTCGTTATTTTCTAAATTGTTTAATTATAAAATAAACAAATTAAATTTGACAACTTTTTATAAATAAATTGACGCGATGCAAGTTTTTGTAATTTAAAACTTCATCGCCACCCATAAAGTGTCATCGCA